GCTCCTATCTCATTTGGAGAACAAGTCACTGAAAAAGCAGCAACCAAGGGGTTATAGCTCCCAATTACATTATGGGTTCTGAAGTAATGCTGGCCCAGTGTTTCAGTACGGCAGTGATTAATGTGAGGAGATTTTCTTATCTTTATAACCCACTTATACAACAATATAACACCCTGATAACAATCCCTGAGCTGGGTAAAATGAATTATCATCATGGGTGTTGGCAGAAACTTCAAATCAGAAATGCAAAATAAACTGAAATTTTAGTGACCACGTAGTGTTCACTACAATCAATGGTTAATGCCAGAAATTTTGGCATGTGTCCAGAAGGTGAGGAGGAAGGATTAAACCAAATGTTTCTGACAAGGACAGCAAGGGACTTTTAAAGGATGGAATGTTTGTTTCCTCTGATGTCAAACACTCTGACATCTACATGATCTAACAATGTCATTATATTAACACCAGGTCAGCATTTAGTAATTTCTTCTGATTCCAGCAATATTGACTATAATGTTTCACTTTTTTGCCTTCCCTTACTGTTTATTTAAAAGCCATCCCACTTTCTAGGTATTGTTTTTATTCCTTTGTCTGTGCATAGATGTATATGTATGTATTGTGGTGTGTGTATATATACATACGTATACACATACATATTCATTAATATATGCACATATGTATTACAGTAATTTTATTTTTTCCAACTACTCTACAAGGTATATACTTATTCAAAAGAGGGCTATGTCATTAATATCTATGAATCACTTTGGTTTAACAGATGGAATGATTCTTTTTTTATGTAGCTTTAAAATGGACTTTTTCATATCCATTGGGGCTTCTTAGCATATGATAATAAATGTTTGTGCACATTTAAGGATGTAAAGAAACTACCTGTGATAAATGTTAACCATTTGGAATTTAACAAATGTACTTAGGCTCCTTTGAGTCTCTTGCTCAATGTTTACGAGTGTAAATTAGAGACCTGAAGGCATGAGCAAGGTTCTGATGCATTGGCATAAGGCATAGGTTGCAAGCAGGTGGCCCACAGTGATGTTTTATTTTGTCATGATTTAAAAAATATTTGTAATATTTTTAACTTAAAAATTGAGAGTGTTCACAAAGACATTTGACTTTCTGCTTGTCTCAAAATATTAGGCATCTGGGAACACTTGACACATATTCAGGGGTATACTGATAGATGTTTAACGTCCAGCTGTCAAGAAAAAAGAATCCTCATTTGCAGCATTTGCCATTTCTGTGCTATAAACACTCCCACCATTACTGATTTCAAGCTACTGATGTGACATTATAAAAGTGGAGTTGAGAAGATATGCACACAATCGGCTGTTGTAGACCAGTATGAGCTAGCTCACTACTGTCTATATTAATCCTCAACACAACTAGTTGAGGTTACTAGCTGCTCCTTTAGAGGAGGCACCATCTCTCTTGTTCTCCATATTTCCTACCAAATCTGTGTCTCATATTTAGATGACCTGCTAGTCCACAGAGGGACTTTGTGTTTGTGACTTCTGGCTTAAGGAATAATTCTGTTAAGAATTAAGGCCTGCTACCTCAGAAAATGAAATGAGCTCAGTGTTATTTATGTGTGTGCTGTGTAGTGAAGGCCTTGTGTTGAATGAGCAGACCCAATCAGGACGGCATGACAAACCGGGGGCAAGAAAAGCAGACATGGACACAATGTGCCAATATCCACGCATCTGAAGGGTGGAGCTCTCACCTTTTTCTGGAGAACAGCTTTGCAATGGGTGGTAGATAAAGGCTAGAGCAGGGATGGTGGCAACGCTAGGATGACAGTGTTAAGTCAAAAGAAACAGCCCCCCGGAGGCAGCCCCCTGGAATGTCTATGTAGAGCTGGTAACCTGAGCAAGCATCTAGGGATCTGAAATGGTCTTGTACTTCCCCAGGTGCCTCTGGGGATGTGTGGCCAGATAGCTGCCATACCCACTCTGGCCCTCTGTATATTCTATGCTCTGCTTTCAGGAACCAAGGCTGAGCCTGCCCAGAAATGCCCCATATGATGGTGAGGGGTGAAGATGGTACAACTTTAAGGTGGTGCTGTTCCATAGACTATGCCTTAGATGGTCCCTCCTTAGCCTCCAGCATATAGCCTGTACAACCATACCTGTGTGAAAATAAGACCAACCAACTTTGCTCAGAGCTCACTATAGCAAGGGAGTCAGCCACCATCACTTGCATTTTGATGGAAACTCAAAGATAAGCAGAGGAGTGGGAAAGTTTTATAGTGGAAATGATGGGAGGCCTCAGGTGTGCCTTGATTGGGAGCTGTTGGTGTGGGGGGAGCTGTAGGTGGGTCAAATGGAAGCCTATAGGCATGACATCTTGTATGATTGGTTAAGGGTGCATATTTGGCTCTCTCTGGTTGGTCCTAAATTAGAATGAGGGGCAAGAATTAGGGAAGCTGGGACACTGGGTGGCTCAGGGGTTAAGCGTCTGCCTTTGGTTCAGGTCATGATCCTGAGATTCGGAATCGAGTCCCGCATCAGGCTCCTTGAATGGAGCCTGCTTCTCCCTTTGCCTGTGTCTCTGCCTCTCTCTCTCTCTCTTTCTCTGTTTCTCATGAATAAATAAATAAAATCTTTAAAAAAAAAGAATTTGAGAAGCTGTCAGTTATTAATCAAGTCCTGTCATTTTGAGCTGGATTGTTACAGAAGTTATTGCTTGGTTTCCTGAATTGTTAGTAAAGATAGCAATCCAGCTTCCTACAAGTCTGACTTAAATAGCTGGTAGACTTCCTTGGCTGATTATTGCAAATAAGGGGGTTGCTCCAGGTTGTGGGTCAGTGTTCTATTTTCACATATGGTCTGGGCATTGTCTATTTGTATATTCAGTCTCAGATAGTGGCCCTGACTGCCCTTCTCAGAGACTGCCTTTTCTCTGTTATACATTTTATTTCTGAGAGTATTTGTAAATATCTGTCAATATTAGGTCCTCCAACAATTAAATGGAATTTTACAAAATGCATGTTTTAGGTGGTATGATATTTATGGTAAGAAACATATATTTGGTCTTCATCCACTATTCCTGGCACATAGCTCCTAAAGCCCTAGGAATTCCCTAAATTATGCTAACTAGATGAATTTTGGAAAGCTGAGGATGAGAGTTGGTTGTCAGGGGAACCCAACCTCTCAACCTTCAGGGAGAGGAGAGGGGCTGAGGATTGAGTTCAATCACCAGCCATCACTAATCTAATCAACAGAGCTTCCATTAACCCAAAAGGATGGGGTTCCATTTTGGTGAACACGAGGAGATGCAGGAAGAAGGGTGCATTCCTAGAGCATGGAAGCTCCATGCCCCTTCCCACATACCTTGCTGTATGCATCTATCTACATAAATTAAATCCCTTTATAATGAACTGGTAATATAATAAGTAAAATGTTTCTCTGAGTTCTATGAGTGCTGTAACAAATTAATCGAACCCAAGGAGGTAGTCATTGGTACCTCTGATCTGTAACCAGTTAGTCAGAAGCACAGGTGACAACCCATACCTACAAATTGCGTCTGAAGTGGGAGGTAAGGGGTCAGTCTTCTAGGACTGAGGCCTTAACCTGTGGAATCTGGTGCTATCTCCAGGTGGCTAGTGTCAGAATTGAGTTGAATTATAAGATATTCAGTTGGTGTCAGAGAATTGCTTGGTGTTGTGGAAAAAAACTCCACATGTTAGAAATGGATAATACCAGAATCCTAGCAGTGGGAAAGGGAGATTGATGGAGATGGCATAGAATAGACCAGGTCATTGAGCTGCAAAGGGAAGACAGGAGAACACACAGAGAAAGCCTGGCGCTAGCAACAGGTCATGCTCAAGAGACTGGGCACTCCTCTATGCTGGCTCTATTGTATTTTGGTGTTGCTCAAGTCTGTTGTATTTTGGTGCCACTTAGTCTTTACTGGAGGAGTTTCCATCTAAAGTGATAACTGAACTTAGCTGCCCACCTTGAGATATCTAGACCAGCAAAGGGGTTCAATATATCTTAGCAAAGCAGTAAAGTGTAATATGCCCATAGCCAACATGGTAGCTTTTTAGGCCATGCTATTGACCTCGAATCAGGCCTGGATCAGAGTCCAGCCTCCGTCGTCTCTGGTCAATGGACTCAGCTCCTGTCCCCATGAGCAGCACACACGCTGAAGTGCCATTTGGATTCCTTTTAAAACTTGACAAATGGTGTACAGGGAGTTGTGCTTCCAAATGTCTTTGGTTTCATATTAGAGAGGAGTTCTTGAAAGTTGGAATTCCTGGATTCTGCTTTTTATTCCACTTCTATCTTGCAACTATCTCTTCAGTATTTTGTTTTTCTCCAACCCTCAGACATCGGTCTTTCCCACCCTTTTAAATAAAATTCCAACTTTTAAAGATATTTCCTTTGCTAATTAGAAGCAATAAAATAATTTCTCTCTAGTTTTGGCTTATCTTAATGAAGCATGAAGACTTTCCCTCCCATTTTTCTGCCTTTTCTTCCACCTCTCTATTTTTCCTTATTTCTTCCTTTTAGCTTATCTATGTGTCCTTTGGCTTAGCTATGCCTGTGTTATTGGGTAGTGTTGATGGGAATTTAGAAGGCAGGAGTATGTTATTGAATTTGTTTGCCCTGCATTTAATACCGTTCAATATCCAGCTATATTTTCTGGTTTGACAGCAGTGCCACGAGAAAATAGTTTCTCCCCCCAGATGACACACTGAACTTTTAAATTTCAAACCATCTATGCTAGATCTCTAGCAGAAAAAAAAAAGTCATATAATTTTGCATTATTTGTGGTGATGTCTGTTCAAATACATTAAGAGGTATAGAAAAGCAAAGGAAATGGATTGGGAACCACAAGGCATCCAAGGTTGTAATAAGGATACTGGGAAGTTACTGGGATTTTTTTTTTTTTTTTACCACTGTGTAATATAAGGTAAGTAGTTGATAACCAAACAATGCTTTGCGTTAAGGTTTATTTATTTTTTTTATTTTTTTTTATGATAGTCACACAGAGAGAGAGAACAAGAGGCAGAGGGAGAAGCAGGCTCCATGCATCGGGAGCCCGACGTGGGATTCAATCCCGGGTCTCCAGGATCGTGCCCTGGGCCAAAGGCAGGCGCTGAACCGCTGCGCCACCCAGGGATCCCTGCGTTAAGGTTTAAATGGTAGGTGTCTTCATGCTAATTGTCCTCAGACAGACACATTTTTAAAAAGTCTCTCCATCTCTCCTTTTGGACATATACTCCCTTTGGAACATATGACTCAAAAGTGAGCACAAAGTGCTTTTTCAAGAAGAAAAATTCACTCTTTCCTTCTGGCAATCTTCCTCCTGCCAAGGTGGTCCATGACTCAGCAAATTCTGCCATTTGTCTCATTAGCTGGGTGGCTTTAGTAGATGGTGTCATTCTGTGCCCTTTACCCAATGGTGCAGTGATCACCAGCTGCTCTCAACCTCAGCTGCTGTATCCCTAAGGGTTCCAACAGAGAAACAGAACCAGTGGGGGAAAGAGAGAGAGAAGATTGATTGATTGATTGCAAGGATTGACCACATGATTCTGAGTGCTGGCTAGGCAAATCTGAAGAAATCCATAGGGCAGGCTGTCAGGAAGGGCAAGCTAGACTTCATAGGCTGAATTTGCCCCCAAACTATTGTCTATAAACAGAATTTCTTCCTCTCCAGGGAAACCTCAGTTCTGCTCTTAAGCCTTCTAACTGCTTGAATCAGGCCCACCCAGATTATCTAGGATGATCTTCTTTACTTACTGTAAACTGATTATGGACTTTAATCACATCTGCAAATACTTTTACAGCTATACCCAGTGTTTTACTGGGTAACTAGAGACCACACTTAGCCAAGTTCCCATATAAAACTGTCACAGCTGCTCTTCCTCCAGAGAATTGCTCTCAGGTGATGGGAGCTGCCTGGCTTGGAGGGATATGTCCCCAACTGAGGAGCATGCCAGTCATGCACTGGCTGCAGGGTTACAAAGACCTGCTTATTCTCTTTTAAGATGGGGATGGTTTGTGGTTCAGTTTACATGAATTATTATAGATGACATATAGTATGACTATCTAATATGTTACATATGATTATAATATTATATAATAAATAATAATAAATAATATTATATATTAAATTAATAAATACATACATCCTAAATTACTATCGCCTTGTGTGCCAGAAACCAGCTTTGTTTTCACCAAATCATTTTTCCTTTTCTTCTTCCTGGGCACATAAGAGGACAACGTTATTTTAGGGTGGACCATGTGACTAGATCTTTCAGCTGCTATAAGCAGATGTGATATGTGTCACTCAAGGCCAAAATATAGAAGGGCAAAAAAAGTGTGGGTTCTCTGCATTTTCTGTTTCCTTCTGTGGCTACCTGGATAGTGTGAAAAGTTTAAATGCTGTAGATGCTCGAGGTAGTGTAGCTCTGTGATACTAACAGCAGTGCAAGTCCATGTGTCAAACATGGTGCAAACCATGTTTTTATTGGTTTGGAAGAGCTTTATATATGTTAAGGATATGACCTTTTTACTGTAACACACATTACAAAACAAGTTGGCCTAGGAGGAAACTGCCTTGGAGAGTCATTAGACCTGGTGTGGATTTTCATAAGCAAAGATTGAACCTTTCCATGTTATGCCTCTAAAATTTTAGGATTTGTTTGTTACTAAATATATACACCTTTTCTTCTTCTCTTAGGGTGAAAGACACTATATCCACCTAAAGTTTTTGGTTTTGTCCTTTTTTTTTTTTTTTTAAGATACAATGTAAGTAAGCAATTTTCTGAAAATGCAGACAATGTAAGCAATTTTCTGAAGCCATCCTGCATTTTTATACTTCCATGCTCACTCCAGTAATGTGTCCTCTTGGTCTAGAAAGTCCCAGCACAGACTTGCAATCAGTCCAGTCCCTATTCTACTCTTTAGAGGCATAGTCCTACCTAGATTACTTACATTTCTCATTAATAAGAAAATAATTCCTAGTCAAAGTGTTGGGTTTTTTTTTTTTGGACTTCATAAATCAGTGTTCACAGAAGCCCCTAGTGTAATCTGATTCAGAAGTTAAAATGCCTAGCAGAAACTCATTAATGGTTTTGCTGTCTCCCCCCCCCCCCCCGCGCCCCTTATTAAAAAAGCCTAGACATCCTTCAAGGCTTACTTCAAGTGTAACCTCTTCTTGCTTAAATGTTTTCCATTTTTCCTTTGCAGTCACTAGGCACAATATATGCTCCTTTGTTTAGCTTTATTTCGTTCTGCCTAGAATTAGAGCTATTTGTTCACACATCTTACAGCTTTCTAGTAGATTTTCAATTCTTCAAGGGCAGAAAGACCTGTCTCTTTCATCTTTGCATTTTCTCCTTCCTCCTCACAGCACCCAGTGAGTGCCTGGCAAGTAGGAGCTTCTCAACAATATTTATTAAAATGGAATGAAATGAAACCTAAAGGGTTTTGCAAATAAAAATGGACCTGTCTTTTCCCAGAACCTCCAAAGGCATTTTGGAAAGGAGGGCAAATGAGATAGGCAAAGTGTACCCAGTGTACATTCTTTAAATCATTTGCAACGTTAAAACGGAAGGTTCATGCTGTCTGAAAGCTATGACAAGGAATATTTGCAGTTAACCAAGTTTTATGAGGCAGTCATTCTACATGGATTTTACACAGCTCTGCTGGTAGCAAAGACATGCCACAGAGATATTTGACATTTTTCTTTACAGACCTCATTCCACTCAGTTCTGGACTCAGAGCTTCACTTAGCTTGCATAATGGCTGTCAGAAGAGGGAAGAAGCCTGCAACTTAAAGTCTCAGAAGGTGGCAAAAGAGAGAATGAAACCTGCAAAGGCATTTTGGCTTTCATTGCCTTTTCACAGCTTTGACCACAGGGTTTAAAAATAATTGCAATGGCAGAGATTTAGATACTTAGGAGAGAACAGAAGCATGTGTTTTTAAGTGTTTGCTGTCATTCTTCTTAGATAAGCCATAATTATTAGACTAGCTCATGGAATTATGGTTGGAACAATTTTTAAAGCTGAGTTTTATAAATTTAGCTTTATAAAATTTAGTTTTGTTTTGTTTTTAAATATTTTATTTATTTATTCATGAGAGACACAGAAAGAGAGAGAGGCAGAGACACAGGCAGAGGGAGAAGCAGGCTCCCTGTGGGGGCCTGATGCAGGACTCGATCCTGGGACCCTGGGATCACCACCTGAATCAAAGGCAGATGCTCAATCACTGAACCACCCAGGTGCCTCAAATTTAGTTTTATAATAGAGGAATGGCAAAATATATTATGATCCATTAATTCTAAGGAATATTCTGAGACCTTTAAAATATCATATTTTTGCAGGGTATTTATCAACTGAGAAAAAGGTAAGAAGGAGCACGTTATCCAACCAGAGCAGCCCAGTTAAATACGTATGTCTAAAAAAGGATGTGTGTGCATATGCATGGAGAAAGCCTAGAAGGAAATATATCAAAGCAATAATATCTGTTATTTTAGGTTTTTGACTGGCAAGACTGTTGTGGGTAATTTTCAGGTGTTCTTTTTTGTTTTTGTTTTTAAATATGGAAGCTTCACAAATTTGCATGTCATCCTTGTACAGGGGCCATGCTAATCTTTATCACATCATTCCAATTTTAATATATGTGCTGCTGAAGTGAGCACAACTTTGATGTTTTTATAATTACTTTTCTGTGTCTCACTTTATTTTATTTTTTTTAATTTTTTTTTTAATTTATTTATGATAGTCACAGAGAGAGAGAGAGAGAGGCAGAGACACAGGCAGAGGGAGAAGCAGGCTCCATGCACCAGGAGCCCGATGTGGGATTTGATCCCGGGTCTCCAGGATCGCACCCTGGGCCAAAGGCAGGCGCCAAACCACTGCACCACCCAGGGATCCCTGTGTCTCACTTTATATTTCTATAGGATTTTCTTTGAATTTTCCCCTTATATGTGCTATAAAAACAGAAAAAAATCAGAAAACAAAAGATGACTTATTTTGACTTAATATGATAGCTTCCTTTTAGGCAGTTAGTATAGGTTTGGCACTAAGCATTTTTCATAAGTTATCTTATTTCATCTTCATAAAAATCCTGCTATTATTTATATTTATTTACCAACTCAAAGAATCAAGGCATGGAAAGCTTAAGGAGCATGGTTGTGGTAACCCAAGTAGAAAGTGGCAGCACTCAGATTTCACATCCACTGATGCACTCCAGAACTGTGCTATTAACATTAGACTCCAGGCAACTCCTAAGATGCACAGAGGGGAGAGGATATTCATGGTGAAAGGTGCTTGTATTATTTGGGAGGAATTCTGTTCCTAGCCTAGCCTGCTGAACACAGTGAGAAAGACTGAGGACTGATCTGGAAATGGAGGAAAGATGATTTCTGAATTAACAAGCTAGTAGGACTGACTGGTAATACACACTGTATTATTATCCAAAACAGGTCCCCAATTTTTGATGGCCTGATTGATGGCTACAGAAATTGATGGTATTTGAAGGTTTTGACAGGAGAGTGGCAGTCAACCCTGTCCTTTTTTTTTAATAAGAAAAATATGTTTGTTTTGTAATGTGTGTTACAGTAAAAAGGTCATATCCTTAACATATATAAAGCTCTTCCAAACCAATAAAAATGAAGAGTACAAGAACAGCCACTTACAAAAGAACATGTATGACCAGAGAGCCCATGGAAAAAATAATCTTTCTCATTAAACATTTCATAATCAAGCAATAAAATGTGATACCTATTTCTCTTTTCAAATTGATAGATGATTGACATACAGCACTGTATGAGTATTAGACATACAACCTAATGATTTGATATATGAATGTAACACAAAATGACCACCACAACAAGTGAACATCCATCACCACACACAATTACAAATTATTTTTTAACTCCATTCTATTCAACAAATATTATTTGAGACTGTATCCTAGGGACAAGCCTTCATGCAGGTGGTTTTAAAGGCTGGATGGGGGCAATGGGAGACTAGGGGCAGCCAGGACTGCAGGTAAGGAGAGAGGTCAGGTTGGGCTCAGCACACGAACAAGAATGCTGAGTGCTATCTGCATGCTGCCTTCCAGTTTCTGATGTGATTTATTTATTTTGATTTTATCCACTGAAGATCCTTATAAAAGGGAAAACTAGCAGTATTTAAGAAGTACTCACTATATGCTAGGCACTATGCTAGAATTTTTGCTCATTCTGGCTCATATAACCTCCTGCAAAGTTCCTTTTAGGAGGTCATGGTTACATACTAGCCACCTTAAGCTCAGAAGAGTGAATGAACACATTGTGAGCTCTGGAAACCCCCAGCATCCACATGTAGAGTTCTACCCACAGTACCACACTGCATGGGCTCTGGGTCACCTAAGCCTGACATATTGGTCGCCTAAGGCTGACATATTGTGTCTCTCTCTTGCATTTCCACAAGAGAGAGAGATGTTCTTTTTTTTTTTTTTTTTTTTTTTTTTTTTAGATCTTATATATTTATTCACGAGAGACACTCAGAGAGAGGCAGAGGGAGAAGCAGGCTCCCTGTGGGGAGCCCAGTGTGGGACTCGATTCCGGGACCCTGGGATCACAACCTGAGCCAAAGGCAGATGTTCAATCACAGAGCCACCCAGGTGCCCAAGAGAGATGCTGTTAATCAACTTGGTACCTCTTTCAGCTTTTTTCTCATCTGTAAAAGGAGTTCCAGTTTGCACATGCTCACCTGGTAGTTTCTCAGAAAATCTCTCCCATTATTCACCAACTGGGTCAGGATCCACTTGAGACATTCATGGCACAGTGGTGCAGGCCGTAGACTTTGGGTTTAACTTTTTTCTCCTCATTAGCCTCCACTGGAATTGTGCTCAGTAAAGTTCACTGCGTGGGCTGATGCCTGTTTTTAGAAACAGTTTTATTGAAATATAGCTATGTTCATTTGTTTACATACACCTATTGCTGTTGTTATGCTACAATGGCAGAATTGAATAGTTACCAGAGAGACTGGCCTTCCAGGTCCCAAGTATTTAGTATCTGGCCCTTTACCAAAAAACAAACAAACAAAAAACCCACCCTAATCATAATACCCTTTGTCCTATTGTCTACTTGGGTCCCCTACTGCTCTTCCTGCCGACTGCAGTTTTAGTTCAGTGCCATCTTAGAAGCCCACCATCTTTAAGCCAGCCCTGTCTACTACCTGTCCCAACCCATCTTTTACCTTGGATAGGAGTTTGAGGAGAACACAGGAGCGTAGCTCAGGTCTTGGAGAAGTCCCCACAATTACAAGAAAAGAGGAAAAACAGAACTGTCAGAGGGTTTGCAGAAAATAACAGCCAACAACAGATTTCAAAACAAGGCAAAAAAACAAAAGACAGGCATTTAATGGTGTCTAGAGTTGCAAACACACTTGAGAAAAGTGAGCAATGAGAAAGGCTGCTGAACTTGACCCTTAGCCGTTTACAGGTGACCTTTGGAACTGAAGTGTCCCTTGAATGATGTGGGTGGAAACCAAATTTCTGGCAATGAAGAAGATAATGATTTGGATTTCCAGAATGGACTTTGAATTACTGGCTGAGGAGGTTAGCACTTCCTGCCTGCCTAATTTCTCATGGGCAATTTTGTGATTTTGTTTCCTTATTTAACTTCTCTACACAGTAAGAAGCGCTAGTTACGCTCATCATTTGTAATCAAGCAGCTGTTGCCTCTGGAGTCTCTCTGGACAATCCACGTGTCTGCTTCCCCAGGAGCTCTGAGTGTTTGGTTTCACTCAAGTTTTTCTTTTTTCCCTTTTTTGAAAGTGTGGAGATATAGTTTGTGCCCTGGTATGTGCTCCTTGAATTCCTTGATAGGAGAAGCCTTGGAATGTTAATGAGGTCACTCCTTTCCTGGTGGACAGAGAGATCAATGGCTTTCAGGTGTTAATGAGAGGTCCTCAAAATTTATGCCCATTGTTAGAGAGCCGATGGCTCCCTGCTGAACTGTTAGACCTTTCTTAAATGGACAACCAAAGACATTTTTTCAGCCCTGCATAAATTTCAGTCATCAGGCTCGGATATGCAGTACATGCATCAGAAATTCCAGCTGTCTCAGTTATGAACTTCTTTCAAACTTTCATGTCTCTGACCTCAGATAGAATTGGTCCTCTCCCTTCCAACCACTCGTTTGATCCCCATTTCTATCACCTCCTCCAGGTGAATGCCTGTAAGGCATTTATCATTTATCATTTATCCCATTTCTTTAATGTTTTTAACTTCTACCTCTCCACTGTGTCTTTTCTTCAACCTACAAATATATTTAAGCTGCTCCCTCCCTAAAAAAATTTCTCATGTTATCTGCCTTTTTCTCAAGTTACTGCAGTCTGTGCAATCACACACACTCCCCTTTTACAGCAAACTGTTTGAAAGAGAACACTAACACTAGGTATTATTCCCTCACTATTTTTCTTGCCTTCATCCAACTGGTGTGGGTCCCTGTTAAAAATACTCTGGAAAGGTCATTACTGATCTAACTGCCAAATCCACTGACTTCTTTCTCTTCCATCAGGCCCCTTGGGCATCTGGTCCCTTTCCTGAAACCCTCTTACGTCAGTGCTAGGGATCCAATGGTTTCCTGGTTCTTCTCCCCTTCTGATCATTTGCTTCTTAGTCGTTTTTGTGAAATCCTGTTTCTCTCTTCCTTCATGCTAGGTCTTCTCAGAGTTCTGTTCCAGGCCTTTTTTTCTTTATTTACAAATTCTTCCCGGGCTTCTTCATCCTCATTAATGATTTCATCTACCTTTCAAATGCTCAAAAAACTCCCAAACCTGTATCTCTGGTCTTTCTCTCCCTCTCCTGAGTTCAAGATTAGTGATACCAGTTAGTCATTTTTGCAATGATGGGAGCTTTTTTTCTGTACCAGGTGATGCAGTAGCCACTAGCTTCGTGTGGCTATTAAACATTTGAAATGTGACTACAGTAATGAATCAAATTTTAAGACTTATTTTTTATTTTTTATTTTGAGAAAGAGAGAGAGCATGCATGGGTGGAGGGAAGGGCAGAGAGACAGGAGAGAGAGAATCTCAAGTAGGCTCCATCCTCAGGGCAGAGCCTGGGTCTTGATCTCATAACCTTGAGATCATATCTGAGCTGAAATCAAGAGTCAGAGGCTTTGGTGCCCATCGAAAGATGAATGGATAAAGAAGATGTGGTTTATGTATACAATGGAATATTACTCAGCCATTAGAAACGACAAATACCCACCATTTGCTTCAACGTGGATGGAACTGGAGGGTATTATGCTGAGTGAAGTAAGTCAATCGGAGAAGGACAAACAGTGTATGTTCTCACTCATTTGGGGAATATGAATAATAGTGAAGGGGAATATAAGGGAAGGGAGAAGAAATGTGTGGGAGATATCAGAAAGGGACACAGAACATAAAGACTTCTAACTCTGGGAAATGAACTAGGGGTGGTGGAAGGGGAGGAGGGCGGGGGGTGGGGGTGAATGGGTGACGGGCACGGAGGGGGACACTTGACGGGATGAGCACTGGGTGTTATTCTGTATGTTGGTAAATTGAACACCAATAAAAATTAAAGAGTCAGAGGCTTAACCAAACCGAGCCACCCAGGAGCCTCGAATTTTATGTTTTATTTAATTTTAGCCGATCTGAATTTCAGCAGCCACACATGGCT